CACTTTATGATGTAAATACAAAGGGAAATCACATTTCTGGCAGGAAGATTACTATGTTTATCAGTGAAGTTTCAGACAGTAAGATTTATTGCAAAGATCTGGTTTATGTGATTGTTGGGGGTTGGCTAAGTAACTCCAAAATATGTAGATCAACTCATTGTAGGAACAGAGTGGAAGTCTTAGTACAGGGGCTGATATCAAGAGAATTCCTTCACAGAGAAACCTCTTTTCTGCTCTTTGGACATTTAAAGGGATCTTATTACCATCTGGATTGAATAAAAACTATTCAGATTACCTGGGATACTCTCCTTTAACCAGCAGCCAATTATAGATATTAATCACAAATACTATACCAGCAGCACCTAGAATAATGTTTGAATAATTTGGGTACTATAGTCTATCCAACTTGATACCTAAAATTGATCGTCACTTTGAGTGGTTGTTTTGCAAAAGGATTCAAAGTTTATAATGTGAAGGTCTTTGACCCAGAAATCCTATGAATGCAGTCAAAGATGTGGATAGATATTTAGCTATCATTGTATACTCAAATATTAGTAAGTAAAAAAATATACAATCAAAATATTACTTATAATGTAACAGGGTGGTCCCTAGGAAAAAGGGAAGTTCCAGGTTCCCTGCCCCACCCAGAAGGAGGGTGGAGCTAAGGAGAGAAGAAAAAAGAGTAGAAGAGAATGAAGCAGGATGGAGGAGGAGGAGACCTAAGGAAGCCACATGGAGCAGCAAACATGTGATGAAGAAACTGAGCTTGTTTCCTGACCCTGGACTGGTTAAGGCAGGTGAGATACCTGTAGGGAGGTGACTATGGCAGTGTTTATATTGATTTTGATTTTGCTCTTTTGCTCTCAGATTTGTCTGGCCATTTCTGACCCTTTTCCATGGTCCTGGCCAGAAGGTGCTTTAGTCTTGTGTCAGGCTTTCAGGCCTTGCTTTGGGCCAATCCCTTTTGGGTTGACTTTTGCGCATGAGGGGATGGGTAACTTCAGGTGTTTGATTTAGAAGTTATATTCTTTGTGTTCCGTATTGTATATTCACTGTGTCAAAGTACCTTTTCATTAAAGTTTTATATGTTTTGTCTTGTTGCGGCAGATGGCAGAACCCACTTAGAGCAGGCAGGTTTTTGGGGCTTCAGGGGTATCCCTCTCTCTCTCTGTCATATAACAGAATTGGGGTGCCCTGTAACAATAATATTAGTTATAAAAATTGTAAACCAGTGTTTACCTATAAGTAATGGATTAAGTAAGTGATAGTACGTGCACAGGATGGAATATAAGCAATAAGGCTTATATTTAAAAAAAAAACAGACATAACTATTCACTATATTTCTACTGTATATAAAAGTAGGATATATTATAAGTCATACATTATAAGTCATGTAATACATATATTTTATTCCTGGTGCACTATGTGGGGATTAGTGAGGATTCTGTAAGCAAGATACAGAAATCCCAATCTGTAAGAGAGCTATTTTAATAAATTTACAATTTCTGTTCAACAAAAGACATTAGTAACACAACAACCTGAGAATCTCTGTTTTGCAGTTTATATTGTCTCCAAAGACCCAATAGTTAAACTTATAGTTAACTTCTGAAAATAACCAAGAAGCCCAGAGAAAAGTGAATATGGACAGGAAGCAGCAGTTCACAAAATGAAAAACCAAATGACTCATGAGCATATTAAGATATTGCAGAAAATTTTTAAAAATGGTATTATTTGTTGATAAAGATGTAGAAAAACAATCTAATAATGGGGATATAAATTTTAGGCATTCTGGATAATATTTTGGAGTATTCAACCACACATATACAAACCCCAAAATGGAAAACAAAACACCACAACACATTACAAGAATGTCTGTGGCCACATTGCACATAAAGCATATAATCTGAAACAAAAGGAACTTAATCTGTGACTGGAGTTCAGAAAGTTTTCCTACATTACATGGGATACAGTTATCTTTATACCTCTGAGTTTATGGTTACAATAGATAGTCCATAGCTGTTTGTTAAACTGAAGAGTAGTGAAATAGCTCTTCAGAAACTGCAGAGTTCCAGGGATGACTGAGAAAAATTTAGTAACATTACATGCATTGTCCATGATTGTAGTCTTAGCATATATAGTTAACAAAGAGCAATTAGAAATCTAAATCATATACTTTCATCCTGTACTCTTCTGTCACTTTCTCTCTTTAAGGGTCTGTTGCAATATACCATTTAAAAAATAGGGCACATTTAAATTTTCTAAAGAAAATCCTTTGAAAGAGTAATGGGAGGCCCTCCCTGGTGTCACAGCGGGTTTGGACACAGCACTATCAGCTAGCCGCAGCCACTTCAGTGCCAGTTCTGCTCCCCATTCTGTCTTTGGTGAAATCTTCTCACTGCCTCTGAACCTTTGGCTTGTACCCCAGTTCTGTATGCATAGATAAATCTTTTTTTTTTTTTTAAAGAGTAATGGGAATTTAGAAGTCATATTGACTGGTGACACTAAGAATCCATTTTCTTTCTTTTTTTTTTTTTTAAGATTTTATTTATTTATGCACACAAGAGCTGGGTTGTAGGTTAGAGGTACGGAGGCTGTGGGGAATGAGAGGAGTCACCAGAGACAGAGTAGGGGGCAGAATAGTCTGATTGACTGAACTGCACTGCTAAGGGGAGCAGTTGGTGAGACAGGAGAGGTCTGCTGTGCCATTAGTTTCCTGCCCAGGGGTCGAACTTAGGCAGATAGCTTCATAGTGCTGAGAAATAACTCCTTGTGCCACCAGGAAGTCTCAGTAACCATGTTCTAAGCGATAAGTAAGTTTAGATCAGAAGTTTATATCCTCAAATTTCAGTGTCACTTTCCCAATTTTTTTCATGTCCACTTGTCACTATTTTTCTTTGATAAATCAATATGCTTTTTTCTTAAAAAATTTATCCTGAGTGAAAATATTCATGAATCAGATTTGATATGCTAGTTAAATGTTACAATATATAATTTACAGTCTTGAAAATAAAACTATGTATCACATACAATTATTTATATTTGTTGTATTTTATAAGTCTGGATTATATGACCTATGAGGTCCCCTCCTAGACTAACATTCTATCATTCTAAGTTGGTTCTTTCTACTTCAGCAGTTTAGTTATTCACTAAAGAACACTGGATCTCTACCATGATATTGCTTCTCAAAATCTAAAATAGACATATTAAATCTGCTGCTAGAAAGGAATATATAAAATATTTCCTTTACATAGTGTATAGAAGTAAGTAATGTAGCATATGGCATAAAGGAAGTAACATTTTTGGGAGGGTGCAGTTCAGAGAATAAAGGAAAAAAGAAAACATCCATTTTCACCTTCTTAACTGGGAAAACTTGAGGGTAGTCAGCCATAGAATATTGATGAAGAGTATGATTTAGAAACATGAATAATACCAAAAAAGGGCAACCCTAAATAAAATGAGCTGGGAAGGCAGGAATATATAGTTTACTATTTACAAATTTCAGTCAGTCAAATTCTAAAAGGGCATGTTTAATGAACTTGAGGCAAAGTATTCAAAGAAAAAAAATCACCCAACAGAAATTATATTTGATGGGTATAATTCTAATTCCTTAGTTTATCCTGAAGAGTAAAAGTGAATGTTTTTTGATAGTGGATTGAATTGGAGTAAGATTAAAAACTAGAAAACCAAACACACTTTTCATTACATTTTTCAGGATATAATTCATTCAACTCAATATTTTCAGCAAGATAAAAGGTTACTTACATTATATTCATTTGCCTGTTGAAAACTAACCAACCCCCCAAACTAACAACAAAAATAAACCAACAGCCAAATTTTTAAAAGATTGTGACAAAAATTCCTTTAATAAAGCTGTGTAGTAGTTCCTCTTAAAGTGTGGGAGTAAGACTAGTAGATATTTTTTCCATTTAGCAATGTGAGGAAATTGTTTCTTTTTAGAATGAAATTACTTTTACAAATATGAATTATTTTGGGTTCAGGTTAACACCAAAGTTGCTAAGAATGAAATTAATGAGGTTATGGTGATTGATGCTTTAATATGAAAAGTCTTTATCTAGAAAAATTATTTTTCAAATAGTTTTGGTTCCAAACAACTCTGACAGGCTCATAAAATGTTTCATTTATAAACTGAACAGATGACTTCATGCACACAGTTCTTTCTCTGACTTGAATGTTGTCTCAAAAGATACAATTAGTGTGCAATACAGAAAAGACAAAGAATATAGTTTCTAAATCAAACACCCCAAATTATCCACCCCTTATAGGTAAAAGTCTACCAAAAGGGATTGGTCCAAAGCAAGGCTTGAAGCCTGCCACAAGTCTAAAGTCCCTTTTGGCATGGACCATTGAAAAGGGTCAGAAATGGCCACACAAATTTGGGAGGAAGGAGCAAAATCACAGTCAAGATAAAAGCTGCTATTGTTAACCTCCACAAAGGTCTCTCACCCACGTTTCAACCCATTCAGGAACAAGAAACGAAAGCTGCTTCTCTGCTCCATGTGCCTCCTCCAGGCCTCCTTCTGTCTCTCCATCCTGCTTCCTTCCTCTTCAGTCTCCTCTCCAGATTCTTCTCTTTCCTGCTCAGCTCCACCCTCCTTTGGGTGGGGTAGGGAACTGGAACCTCCTCTTTTCCTGGGGACCACAGTTACAGTATTATATCCCCAAATTTCATGTTTAATTTTTGAAACCAGTCTGTTAATTGTGGGATATATCTGATTAACCAAATTTGCTTCCCTAGTGGTGGTAACATTATCCCTATTTTCATTTTAAAAAATTTTAAAAGATTTATTCATGCACCTAAGAACTGTGGTATAGGCCACAGATGTGCAAAGGAGGAGTGTGAGAAGACTCATCAGCTACAGAGAAGAAAATGTAGATCTACTGAAATACGCTGCTGAGGGGAACATCTGGTAAGACAAGAGAGGTCTGCTGCACCTCCCTGGCCAGGCTTGAACTCATGCCCTCATGCTGCAGTGGCTGTGGATCGCTTGATAGTGCTGAAACTTTACCCCTGAGCCATCAGGGAGACCCTATTCACTTGAATTCTTAATGGACATTGATATTTTTGAAAGCCAGTTTTCTTCCCAAGAGGACTATGACCATTTCATTTTTATTAACAATTTCAAATTTACATAGTTTATAGTGCTTTGTAGGGACTAAAAAATGAATCAATAGTTTTGGGAACTATATTAAACTGCTTGCAAAAGGTATGAAAACAAAACAAGTAACTTCAATGGTAAAATTCCAGGAATTAAGTAATTCACCATTACTTTTAAATGTAAGCTTTAAAAATTAGGCAGTGCTAAAAATCTCTTGAAAAAAGACAACATATATATACACCTGCGAATAGTTCACTGATCACCTAAGAGCAGGCTATTGACAGATACTGAGAAACTAGGTAATGTGATCATGCCCATTTAGAAAAATAGAAAAAAAAATACCCGCAGAATTTCAAGTGATAAAGCTGGCAAATATATTACCAAGAATACTGAACACAATCTTCCAAATTTTGGAATGCAGGGGAAATGCTTTGAAATTTTGAAAGTAATATCAAAGATTTTTTTTTAAGAAAGCAGGAAAAAAGTAATCATCGCAGTTCACTATCATTTTAGTGCTAATAAACATCACTATTATGTATAGTATGTATTCTCAGGTTTGAATTGTGATTGAAGTCACCAAACAGTATAGTGGGAATGTGTCTTTGAAGGGGGAAAATCCAGTGAAGAAAAATGTTAGGTACATTCGTTTTTCCAAGTTAAGTTAAAATACAGACTAACCATGTCAGTAATGTATTGTCAGACTTCTTTGAAAGCTTTTTACCGATTAACCTGTCAGTGGTATGTGCCTAAAGTTACTAGCTTTCCAAAAAGTACAAAATGGTATGGTTCTAAAACTTTGTTTTAATGTCTGTAGTAGTTTATAAACCCTTTATTAACACCCGATCAAAAATATGACAGTAAAATATAGAACAGAAAAATACCAAAACATTCCTTATTTAAAGCTTTCCTAAAAATCAAATTTGTGTTGCAGAATGTATATACAAAAAAAGAAAAAAACATAAAAATACCAAGAAGATAGCTGGTTAGTTTTCATGGTGAACTAGTCATGAAAAACACTCCAAGGACAAACTTTAGATTTACATAACATGTTGTAATGGAAACATCACTAGACTGGAAGCCAAATTACTTGGATTCCATTCTTGTCTACTCTACATGGCTTTGTGACCTTGTCCTAATAATAACCTGTTTTTGTTTTCTTTAAGAAATTCAGAAAACTGAAGGGTTTAGACCAGATAGTTTCTAAGGTTCTCTTCCAATTTTAAATTATTACAAGTCTAGAAACACTTGGCAGACCCTACATGAAATGTTGTAATTTGATGGAATGGCAGTTTTTTAAGAGTACAGATATACACATAACAAAATAGTAGGAAAAAAATGATTAGTTCTGAAGATACTTGTTGCCACCATTCTCAAAATAGAATTCCCACAAAATGGGAAAACCGGATCATAAACTGGTCTTCTCAACTATTTCCATGTATCTTAGAAATAGTAGCAAGTGTTTATTAAACATTGAGGACAACTGTACACAAAATTCTATCTTCTTGATACTGTTTCAGAAGCTATTAAATTGTAGTTCTCTCTCTCAATTCTTATGCTGAAGCCCACACTCCCAAGTATCTCAGAATATATGATCCTATTTGGGGATAGGATCTTTCCTAACTTAAAATGAATTATTAGGGTGGGCCCTGATCTAGTATGACTGGTGTTCAGATAGAGAGGGAAAATTTGGAGACCAATAGTATATAGGGAGAACATCATTTGTATTTGCAGATGGCCATCTACAGGTCAAGGCAGCCTGGAACATTATCTTTTCCTCACAGCTGTCAAAGAAACCAATCATGCCAACTTTTTGATCTGAATTGTTAGCTCCCAAAGCTGTGAGGTAATACATTTGTTAACTCATTTAATTTGTGGTAAATTATTACAACAGGTACAGGGGACTAACATAGAAGCTAAAATTAACTGACCATTATCAAAAGTAAAATAATCTTCCAGAAACGCCTAGTTATTTCCTTATCCTATATTAATACTTCATAGATTTTGTCTCAATGAGAGGAGAAACTTGGACATGACTTTGTAATTGCATAACTAACTATGAAATGTCAGCAGATTATGAAATGTTACTTTTTTATAGCCTACATTCCTCCCTTTCCCCCACCCCTTGCTAGTTCCTCCCCATTTCCATCTTAAATTACTTAATACACAGGTAGGACTAAATAAAGTATTCAAAAGAAAACAAATCTCTAGGAAAATGAAATATTTCCCTTTTACAGGAATCTTCTCCTGTGTTATTAAAAGAATCCCACAGATGGAAAGCCCATGGACTTTCCTGGGGATAATTACTGATGGGGAATGCAAAAGAGTTTTTTATTAAAAGATGGTCGGTGGACTTAATTATATATTATGTTGCGCTTTGACTGTAGTAAGTGCAGTACATCAATGACTTCATACACGAAGAACTGAACCTGTCATGAGCTTAAGAAAAAGTTAATAGCACCTATGATGATGGAAGGAAAACTGTAGTCTAGTTTCTTTAGTATAACTGCTTATCAATTCATGAAATCAGAGCACATGCAAGAACCAGGATGATGGTCCTAAGAGTGGTTAAACTATGAACATACAAGGAAAACACATACTTAGTCTGCAACTATAAGCTGAAAACGTAGCAGTACTAAGAGGAAAAATTTTAAAAATCTTAGTTATACAAGACAATTCTCATAAGTTGGATTTAAATTCATCCATTTTAACATCTCACAAAAAGTTCAATTTATTATTTTACATTAACATTATGGAAATTAAAATAAAAGGATCAATCAAGCTGTCTCATGAACTGGCAAGTGACCAATTAATTCCCTTTCATTTCCAAACCTCATCAAGCAGTCACTACATTTATGAGGTAAGTCAGCTGAATGTTTGAAATCTAGATGAATTTTAAGATCTTCAATTTGTCCTGTTGAATATTCACAGTACTGACACAAATAAATACCTTCAGATAAATGTGAATTTAAATGTTTGCAATATTCTAGCATACTTGAAAAGCCTTTTCCACAGTCATCACAAACATGAGGAAAAATTTTAGTATGCTCAATAGCAACATGCCTATTAACATTTGTATGAAGTCTGCTCCGAAAACCACATACTTGACATACAAAGAAGTTTTTACATTTGTCAAAGGTAATTTTGCTTAAAAGGCTGTATTGTCCATGTTCTCCATTGTTGTATTTATCACTTAACTCTATTAATTTACATGCGTGTTCATTTACAACATGGCTATGCAAGTCTTCTGGATCATTTGTTTCATGTTCACAGAACTGACATAAGTACTGTTCATCACAGCTGTGCTCCTGAAAATGTAAGTAGAGTTCACTACTTGAGGAAAACTGTACATCACACTGTTCACACCAATAGAGGTGATCACTAAAATGTGTGTCTGCAATGTGCTGGCTGAGGTTCTCAAAAATTACTGTCTTATAATCACAGTACTTGCAAATGTAGGGATCCTCTTCATGCAGTTTGGCGTGTTCAATCAAACGCATGTTGGTAGAGAAACTTTCCTTGCATACTCGACATACATTTGAATCAGTACGCTTATGTTTCAAGATCATATGCTGCTTTAAATCAGAAAAATACTTGCTGTTGAACTCACAAAGCTCACATTTATAGAGGCCACTGCTATTAGCTCTCAGTAAAGGCCATTTCTGCTGAGCAGTTACATTCAAAGCTTGGCTCTTGTCAAGAATTCTACAGAGTTTAGCAGGTGGCTCTTCATCAGTTTGATCTGGGAGACTCTCAGAAGAGTTGTTTTCTGTCTCTATATCATAGTCTTCAGAAATTGCATGTACTTCTGCAGCAATTGGCACATCTTCAGCAGCGTGGACCTCTATAGGACTCTCCTCTCGAGTCTGCTGGTTGACTGATTCAGGCGAATCACACTCTTCATCACAAATTTCAATATCAGCAGATTTTTCTGAAAGATGAAACAAGTCTATTACTATTAGTAAATAAAATCAATTATATATATAATTGAAAGAAACTTATGCATTCGTAAGTTTTTCCTTGATCTCTACAAAACTTGCACTATTAGTTTCCCTAACCTGTAGGAAAGGTAGTGTGGTCTAGAATTCTAAGCACAGGACTGGGAACCAGGTAGTTCTGATTTCTGTTTCTTGCCTTGATTCCATCTGCAAATTTTGGCAGGTCATTTGATGTGTCTGTATCAGAATCATCATCTGTAAAAAGGAATGTGGAAATATATAAAAGCACTAAACATGAATGGAAAACAAAGCACCACATGTTTTAAATATAGCTAAATTTCAACAGGAACTAAGGACTAGATTTAGCCACAAAAACAGATCTTATCTATGTACCACAGGCATACAGAAAATCTGTTCGAATAAGCCATTGCGTTTGCTTCCATATGCCATTTTGGTCTAGAGCATACTTTTTAAAGTTACTAAGGCTTTTTTAGGTTTAAATTCCTGAGCCAGAATAACCTTTTATTTACTAATGTTTTAAAACTAGCATGAGGAATCTGAAATAGAATTTAGTAGGGAAAACTTTTAGAACAGTTTTAGATTTATAGAAAAAAAAAGAGAAGACAGTTTGTGGAAAATTCCCACATATTCTACACTCAGTTTCTTCTTGATAACCATGACAGTTTTGAGGATTACTCCTCAGGAACTTTGCAGGATGCACCCCTCTCCCCCAATGAAATCTGTTGCTTCTTTCACGCTTATTCTGGATTCTGGGTTCTTGAGATAGACCACAGAAGTAAACTGTCATTCTTACTACATCCTATTAAGGATACATACCATTAACATGCTAATGTTGGCCTGATCACCAGAAATGAGGTGATTTATCAGGTTTCTCCATTGTATATTTACTTTTACTTTCTATACTCTAAATCTCTGGAAGGAAAAATCACTAAGTGTAGTACACACTCAAGGTGTGGGGATTTATGATCCACCTCATTGATGGAAGAGTAGCTACATAAGTAATTTAGAATTCTTCTGGACAGAAATTTGTCTCGTCTGCCTCATTTACATACTCCAATATGTATTTATGTCACAATAGACTCATGGCTCATGGATATCTGTTTTATACTTGGGGTATAATTCAACATGATGCCCCCTCCCCCCGGCTGTTTCAGCTGTGGTTACTGGGAGCTTTTTCATTTGGCTCCTGTGCTCCTCTTATCACATATCTGTGTATGAGTATATAATATTCCAGCCTCATTTTGTATATTTCCTGCCCCAGGACTAGAATCAACCATTTCGCCAAGAAATCAAATTTTCTTCTATTGGAGGATGGTATTAAAAACTGAAATTAGGGCACCAAATGTGCTCTTTTCTAATGGGAAGTCATTTCTTTTAGGCCTTCTCATTTATCAGAACAAAAAATAAGTGTGTATACACTACTATATACCTATGAACATATCTATAAATAATATTGCATATAACCATCTATAGCTACATTGACTCTCACTGGTTATATGTGGTGAAATGTTTTTAACATGGAGAGCTCAGTGGTTAAAGTGGAAGAAGAAAACAAATACAAGCTGATATTCACCCAATGCTCTAGAAAAGAGTAAAAGACGACATAACATTGGGAAAAAAATCAAGTCCACCTCCTTTTGTTCTTTCCTTCCATTAGCTCTCATACTGAAAAGGAATAGCAGAATGGAATAATCGTGTGCACATAAATAAATGCTTCTAACTCTGGGACATTCCTGCTTTTCCATCAATTCCTAGCCAACTAAAATGAGTTTGGAGCATACACTTTTTATTTATACATCTGAAATATTGTTAAAAGCTGAAGTTACTATTTGTTTTCTTTTAATACAATTTCAATTCAATAGTAATACCAAAAACTGTTTCTGTGTATTATTCAAACACCTATATATTTTGAAATAAAAACTTTCTAACACATTTTCAAGTAGAAATAAAAAAGCAATTTCAAGAAAAATATTTTAGGAAATGTTATATATACCTTTGTTGTCAAAATATTTTAAGTCTGGTTGTCTCATAGAACAGACACTGTAACAGTGATCAGAAAAAATTCCATTGAATCCGTCTGCAATTCTGCTTATTCCTGAGGAATCTGATCATTAAACACAAATGAAGATAATTTATAGACAGAATATATATTTAATGATGGCCATCTCTTTCCAACATAAATTGTCACAGTATCTGTTAAAAATTATTATTTTCCTTAATTTTGAAAACTTTTATTTCAGATCTAGTAATACACTGTGCTTTGAAAGACTCACAAATTTAACATACAATTGACTCATGAACAATGCAATGGCGTTTGGGACACTGAACCCTGCACAGCTGGAAATTTGAATCTAATAATATGTTTCACTTCCCAAAAGCTAAGTATGAACACTCCTTTTATCAGTGGGGGCCTGGTATCACAAATCCCAGGGGGTACCAAAATCTGAGGATATTCAAATCTCTTTTAGTTGGCCCTCTGTATCTGTGAGCCCTGAATGTGTGATTGGTTCAATCTGTGAGGGTGGAACCTTTAGATATGGGGGTCTCAATTATTTACTTAAACAAAAAAAAAAATCCACATATAAGTGGACTTGCAGTTCAATCCCAATTTGTTCAAGGGTCAACTGTACTTTGAAGCATAAGATACACTCACCTTACTCAGAATCCCATAAAATATAAATATTGATAAAGATGTTAATTACAAAAGAAAACAACAACACTGAATTAACTACTAAGAAAATCCTCCATGTAGTACAGAGCATTGGTCTGAGAACCAATGAGGTTTTCTGAATACTGTTATTTCTAGTCTTGTCTGGGAGGGGTCAGAGAGCAGCAAAAGAGGCTTAATTTCACTAGGTATAAAAAGTGTGTAGATTTGGGTGAGCTAACAGGTACGCCTGAGACTGCCCCAACTATCTGTATATATATGAGGTGTATCAGTGAGAGATGGCCATAAAGAACCATTTAACATAGAATCAACCCATCGAAGTTAAAATTGCAATTATATTTAAAGTTTCTAATCTCTTAAAACAATATGTAAGTCAAAGACTTATCCATCAAGGATGCAAAAATATTTTCACCCAAGAGTAACAAAGCTGTGCCTTAAGACAAGCTTGGCAAATTATACTTACACTATGTAAGTATGCAATCTTGGATATCTACAAATCATGAACTAGAGATTAAATAAAAGTGTCCATAAAGTTCTGATTATGTCTAACACATGGTAGACAAGGATTAAAATGTACAGAAAATTTATTCAAAGGTTTCTCTTCCCTAAAAACTGACACAGATTTTTAACTCTTATCCAGTGATTGCTGAGATAATGAAGAGGACTACAACTACATGGTAATTAATATACGGCTCAATGTTTAAATACTTCAAATTACACACTGACCTGAATAGCGAGAGGGATGTAAAGTCTTCCTTTTTCTTTTTTTAGGATATTCATTCATATCTTTTCAATCTAAACATAAAAAAAATGACAAATACATCACAAATAACAATTGTTATTAAAAAAGTCCTCCTAACCAATGAATTTATTGGCAATAAGAGACGCTTATGCCATGTGAAAATCCACAACAGAAATGTTAAAAATGCCTCTTTAGGCCCTCCCTGGTGGCGCAGCGGGTTAAAGCACAGCACTGAGAATCTGAAGCCACTTCCGCATGAGTTCAATTCCCGCCTGCC